TGACAAAGTCTATCAAGGCGTGTCTATGACGTCACAGACTTTGCTGTCAGCCATCCAGGTATCGCCTGGGCTGTGGTTCTATAGTAACCCCGCCAAAGAACTTGAAGAATTGTTTTTCTATCTTTTTTGGGGGTTGCTATAGTCTCCCCCAAATCTATGTATATAATTATATATTATATATAACATAATATGTAAAAATTCAATTCACCACTATTGTGGCAGGATGTTTGTACTTTTCGGCATCTTTTGTGTGGTTTGTTTTTCTTTTGGAATGGGAAAGATGATCAAAGTCCGGGGGTCACAGGAAGGTTTCCAGGCCTTTTTCTATGGGGAACACACGGAGCTACCTGGACCCCATTTTTTCGGGCAGTGGTTAGAGGGTCTAGGAGGTATACCCTCTGGTTATGTCAAAATAGCTATTGAAAATGGCCATTTATAGTGGATTTTCCCATTAAAAATGGGTGGATCTTTCCATAGCTATGTTAAATTACCAGAGGGTATCAGACAAAAGGGACTTGGTTTGGTGTTGGTGGTCCTGACAAACTCGAAAGCCAAGAAATTTGGATACCCTCTGCTAAAAAATCATCAAACATGGCTGGAAAATCCTAAATCGAGATGATTTTCCAACCTTTCAACTTTCACGCAACGGGGATTTCCCAGCAACGTTAACCGCAACGTTTCGAGGCTTTTTTCGAGCATCCCACGAGTCGTTCATGGGATAACCTAGGAGAAGGAACTGCCTAGTCGGCGCAGCTCCAGTTCCAATTATCCATAGCTAATTATATAAGATATGGTTATGGTTATATATCTCTAGCTATGGTAAAAAATAATGTTATATTAATGTAGTTTTTAAAATATCCAATTATGAGATGTAATAAGAAACTACATAACCATAGCTAGAGTTGGGTTGTATCCCAACTCTTGGTTATCTCCATGGTTATAGCCAGCTCCAACTGCACCACCATGGCTGGTTGAAAGCATGGCCTCCAGTATTTGTCTCCCTCAAATCAACCCATGGAAGAGTCTACGAAAGAATGACTGTGCAGGATGGTGCCCCCCCAGTTATGTTTGTTGTTTTATAAACCCTATTAACTAGAATTCAGCCACTTATAAGGCAACTGAACGCTATCTAACGGGAGCCCCATCCTGTGCTCTCCAGTTACAATCACGGATGGTGCTTTCTCGGACAGAGATTTCATGACGGACTCAGGACTCAGTGATTCGGTGATTTTGACGATAGATTTCTCCATTCCCTGGGTCTCAAAATCACCATCAAGTCATATCGATGGTTGATTCACGTTGATTCGTTTCAATTGGGTTTCATATGGTTTCATCAGATAGCCGGAATGCCGAAGGAAAATCACACTTAAGACAAACGACCATTGAATCTGGCGCTTCCAGGGATGACCACAACACTACTTGGGGGTGAAGTGGGGGTTATTAATGTGTACAAGATGATATAACTATGGCAACAAGACCCCATAAGTTGGGATATAACTTCCTACCCCTATGGTTATCATGTTATAGAATCACTTATTGGTGGAACTGCGGCCCCAAGTAAAGCCATGGGTCGACGCGGCAGGTGGACCCATCATTTACAAGCACCCGACTCAGAGGGGGCTGCTGCGGCAAGGAGCTTTCGGACGGAAACTTCATCATGCTACAGTACTTGAAGGATCATCAAAGCAAATCGAAATGCTGATGTGATGAATAGCTGTAATAGCTGGTTTCTGGTTTCAAACATGTTTTATTTTCATTTATTTTCCATAATATATGGAATAATCCTTCCCAACTGCCTAATATTTTTCAAGATGGTTATTGCACCACCAACCAGCTTTGAATAGTCTTTTGAATGGGATAGATTGTCTTTTAATAGTTTCACCAACACATTGACAAGTTTTTGTCACCAACACAAGTTTTGTCATGGGATAGCCATGGGACAAGCCATAGGATAACCCGATCACCAGGGTTACGAAATAGTTGTTACTAAGTGGAATGACCCTGCAAGTAGCAAGTACTTTAATAACCTGGTTGGTGGTTTGGAACATGAATTTTACTTTTCCATATATTGGGGATAATCATCATCCCAACTGACGAACTCATATTTTTCAGAGGGGCAGGTATACCACCAACCAGTAACTGTTGCGATTATTCGGGGGATATATCGAACTAGGTACATGGGGTTCTAAACCAACTTATAACCGGGGGGCACTTTGTGGTAATCAAACAGTTTGCGAACTGGGTATAGAAACTATCCATGAATTAGTTGCTTTTTAAATGGAGTTGATCCTTTGGATGCACTTGGTAATTTAGTAGTTTGCGAACTGGGAAGATATACATTACATATCGACTTTGATAGCTCCCTAGGTCTTCAAAAGATCAAGAAATTTTGGTCGACCCCTAGTGTTCTACTTTTTCTGGACGCTAATTCAAAAAGTAGCCGTTTTGGTCGATATCTCCAAAAACCGGTCGTGAGCTTTATGCCCTCCACTGCAGCCTTGATTTTTTTGTCATTCCCCGACCCCCTGAATTGATTATAGATTTCGCTCATGGAAAAAGCCTGGTTTCAAATGGTCTCTCACAAAATAAGTCGTGCATCCCAATCCGCATGGTGATGTGCACACACACGCACAGTGTTCAAACTTGCAATCATGACCATGCTTCTTCCAAAAACATAATTCCGTGAAAACTCTGCAAAAAAGAAGCAGAAGGCTTAACATTTCCACTTTTTTGCATATTGCCGAAAACATTAAAAAACAAAGTGACCTAGTTTTTGGGATTTGTAGGCGTTTGATGGTTTTTGTAGTCGTTTTGAAGCTTTTTGAGGGAGTTTTGAAGGTTTTTGTAGGCGCGAACTTTCGCATAAAACGTGCACATCGCACACAAAAATGAACATAATCTAAGGAATGGTGAGCCAAAGAGTCTGTTAGTGGCACTTCAAAGCCGATTGACCAGCTAACATGGCTGGTCAGAGTTTAGCGTTTTGATTTTATTCGCTTATGATGGATAGAGGGTAGGTGGTGGTTGACCCTGTCGACTTGTGGGCCACTTGTCATTGCTTCACTTAGTTTTATCAATGGCCCACATTAGGGAATTCAACTGACATAGGATTGAATGAGGTTGAATGCGTAACATGGTAATGCAGCATGAAATGAAACCAGGGAAATCATAGGTAAATTGCAAAAGTAGGCGCTTTGGTGAAGAACTACTTTTTCTGACCGATATCTCAAAAAGAAGTCAACAACCTAGTCTCCCAGAAAAAAGTGCTACGAACGAAGACCTAGGTCTATAAGTTATAAATCATTGAGGGTTGCTTGACTCATTGACCCCGAAAATTGACCCTTTTGAGTTGAAACGCGTCTCCCAATTTACCCTGGGGTCATCAAACGTGGCTTGCTGGAAACATCCGTTCACAAGGAATTTTCCAGCGAGCCACGTTTGATTACCCGCCGATGACTTACATCATACATCCATATTTATAGATCATGTCTGATGATGTGCCTATATATATATATATAAATGTAATTTCCATAGCGAACATTAAATAACCAGAGGATACCCTCTGGTGAACTAACATAGCAATTGAAAATTGCCATTCATAGTGGATTTTCCCATTAAAAATGGTGATTTTCCATTGCTTTGTTAGTTCACCAGAGGGTACATTGTTTTTTATTGAAAATCACAAGTTAACCTCCGAGGTTTGCCGGTGTGGATGCCAGCGATCAGTTCGCGGCCTTCCACAGACCGCGGGTCTATGGACGGCTGCCGCAGTTTCTCGTTGGAGAGGCGGCGGCGGTCATCGGGTCCGGCGAACGGTTGGGGTGACAGCCTGCCCGACAAGGTGCATACTGTACATCAGCAGTAGATGTTGCTTGAATTTGAAGTTTTATACTATATATATATTCGAATCATAATCATATAATCATATACAAATATAATCTGGTTGGTGGTTTGGAACATTTTTTATTTTCCATAATATATGGGATGTCATCCTTCCCATTGACTTTCATATTTTTCAAGATGGTTATTGCACCACCAACCAGTATATACAGTGGGATGCTGACATATGAACATTTACCCTCCGGTAATTTATCATAGCCATGGTATAGATGGCTCATAGAAATAGATGGTTTACCGTTCTTAAAAATGTGGATATCCCATGGCGAATGTTAGTCATATCCAGAGGGTAATATGTACGCAACAGTACGCACCCCTGAAGTCTGACCTTTGGCCCAGGTGATTGAGGATGAAGGCCATTTGCCAAGCAAGGCCACGGCAGAGTATAGTTCCTCGATCTGCAAACGTTGGGAGATTGATCTAAGTTCCTATAATGTGGGGCCCTCTAGATAGCTAAGTTGGTTTAGAATTCCAATAACTATGGTTTATGATTCTTTTAACTATAGTATTCATGGGATTTATGAACCAACTTATAACTGGGGGGGCCACATTGTATAAACATGGCTGATGTTTCCCGAGCACTTTGGGGCTGCATCCCAGGAATTGATTTTATGGCCTGATAACATGTTATAAGCGTATTGTACTTCTCAGTTATGTTACTTACAAGCAGTTGCATGTCCATGTGAGATTATGTATAGGCTACAAACCACTTTCATCCACTGGATGCACATCCAAGTAGTAAGGCCCTCTAAAAAACGGTCTTATTTCTCGCTTTTTGTTTGTTGTTTCTTTCGACAGCCTATTTGGCATTCTATCTGGCATTCTATCCCACATCCTTTCTGATATATTAGCTGACAACTGTTTTATCTCACATTTGTTTGGGACAGTATACCTGGCCTCTCATTTCTCTTTTTTTTTGTTTGTGGCATGTTTATTTGGCATTTGATCTCATGTTGTTTACTGTGTACTTTCTATCTCACATTCTATTTGGCATTCTAACTGACACATATTATGACATTCAATTCTATCTTACACCTTGTGTTACACATCTTCTGTCATATGATTTGAAATTTTATCTAATGTTCCGTCATTCTATCTGACATTTGACATTTGCTCTCACACATGTTCTAACATGTTGTTTGGCATTTTATTTGACATATATTATGTCATTTTATCTTACACTTTATGTGACAAGTATTCTGTCATGCTATCTTACATTTCATGTGACACGTATTCTGTCATACTATCTGACCTGTTCATCTCACACATGTTCTGACAGCCTATCTGACGTTTTATCTCACGTAAATGCTGGCATGCTACCTGGCATCTGGAATTCTATCTGACGTATATTCGGAAATGCTATCTTACATCTTTTCTGCCAGAAGCTTGAGACCCATGCCAACCCCAAACACAAACACCTTCTCTGATAAAGCATGTGGAGAAGTCGCAAAACATTGGGCCGGATGAACATCCAGAAATCCCACCTGTTTTCGCATGATTTCCTGCAAACATTGGTTCATAAAATCACCATGTCCCATAGCTTACAGATGGATATCCCATTTTCACATAGCTATCCATGTCCCATATCTCATCACCAATCTAGCTAACAGATGTGTATATATATATACATATTATATATATATACATATTGTATATATATTTATTTATATTACAATGTGGTGCCCCCGCGATAGCTAAGTTGGTTTATAATTCCAATTTCACTATGGTTTATGGTACGCAAATAACTATAGTATTCATGGGGTGAATCTAAACCAACGTTCACATCACTGGGGGGGCACCACAGTGGTCACATCTCAGCCCAGCAAAACTTCCGCCGTGCTCCCAGGAGCTTTGAGGAAACGACTTTGGCGCGACGGTTGGTTCAAGGCTGATCCCAACTTCTACGTGGCTCGAAGATCGAGCCGTGGGATGTTGGTTTTTTTGGGTGGTTTGAAGTGTGGCTTTTTATTGCGAGTGTTTAGTAATTTATAAAGATACCCTCTGGTAAACATACAAAAAGCTATTGAACATGACCATTTATAGTGGATTTTCCCAATGAAAATGGTGATGCTCCATAGTTATGTTCGGTTTACCAGAGGGTAAATGGAAGACATTTGCGATAAATCGATTGCCCATTTTTTGGCCCTCCAGTTGCAAGGTGATCTACAAGCCCCATTGAAGTTAGTCATAAACCATATATCTGGGTAAATTAGAACGACCTCACTGCTCTCCCGAACCCTGGAATCATGGTTTATTTTAGGGAAATCATCCCCAAATGGCCGCAAGATTCAGGTTAGTGAAATATTATGTTTTACCCAGATAAATGGAATTAAATATGGACAAATATACGTGTGTATATTTAAAACAACAACCAAAAAACATATTATACACATACATTGACAATGTTTTTGGGCAGGATACTGTATCTAAGATTGGCCATGTTGCAAGAGACTGGATAGATGTTGCAAGAGGGGTTCGTGGCTCTAAGCGATTGCAAATATTTGCTGATGTTCATTATTGAGATGGTTCTCAGGTTCTCATATTTCTTGGGATAGGTTGAACCCTCCAAAGCAGTAAAGTCCATGTTTGGATGGGGGGTCAGTGAAAAATTCTATGAATGCCCCACATTCAAAACCTACTTTGATGGGCCATAGAGTTAGCTCACCACTTGGTAAGTTGGTTCGAGCCCGTCCTATACCCAGTTTTCCTACAGCATAAGCCTTTCCCAAAATGGAGACAAAACACCGTCAAATTCTAGTTACCCCGGCATTTCTATTCAAAATTGACAGTTCTAACCCACTGCCTACCAGCGAGTTAACTGAACAACTGACTATGGCCCATGTAAGTGAAGCAACAAAATGTGTTGCCCCAGTGCTGGTTAGGGGTTTCTAGATCAATCTTAGATGGGTAGTTATTGGTTTCTAGCTCAATCTTAGATGGGTAGTTTAACCTTTAGTCTTTTGGTAACAATGGGATTATCTACTAACCAGCTAAGAATTTATTTGTTTGCAGGGTATCCAAGATTGGCCATGGTTTATGTTCACCCACCTAGCGACACAACACTGTTAGTTGCTCATCCTTAGGTTCTTGGTTTCCAAGTCCAAAAGGACCCAAAAGGTCGGGTCAATCACCATTTTTGTTGCTTAAATCCCAAGGAAATCACCATTAAGTCCCAGTAAATTCGATTAAATCACCATTTTTGTTGCTTAAATCCCAATGAACTCACCATGTTGGTGACATCCCATGAAAAATCACCGGTGGTCGAATCCCATCAGAAAAAAAACAACGCTCCATCACTCTTATGAGTGATAGATATAACTATAGCTGGTTGGTGGTTTCAAACATTGGTTTTGTATAGGGTAATGATGGTTAATCATGGTTAATAATGGTTAATAATCAGTGGTTGGTGGTTTCAAACACAGCCGCGAACTCAACTCCTACCAGCTGGTGCGGCCGTCCCTGCTGAACGTTGAGTGTTCGTCTTGCGCGGTCTGCCATGGACTGACCATGGATCTTGGTCAGGTTGGTGCTGGTGGAGTGTTCTCCCTCTTTCTGGTGGTGGTGGTTTTGGCCCTGGCCTCTGGAATTCCAAGAAGCATGTAGAATGTCTGAATGCAAAACTGGATTGAAAACTTTGCAAGCAGCTTAGTGGGTTTCGTGTATAGATTTGGACGTGAAATCCACGCAATGCACCACTGCGTCTTGCCAACATGTGGAGGCTAGGTTTCAGATTTCCTTGACACATCTAACGATCTGTTTCTGCTTGGGGTTGGGCCACCGCATTTTGGTGACAAATCCAACCACCTAATAAACTTATGTCCTTTGCATTCCTTGGTCCGCTACTAGTCAGGAATCTGTCTTGAAGTGGTGAATCAATGAATCCTGTTACAACATTGTAATTTGGCTATGAAGAACCACAGAGTACCCGGTCTCCCTCCGGAAGCAGTGGTCATGCTTCTCCAATCCTAGACTCCCTAGACCCAAGCCTATTGCACAATGCTCACGCCCGCGGGCTAGGCCTGTTCCATGGTTGAAGGCAAAGTCGATTCAGCCTTGCCGGACATGCCTGACCAGGACAATCTAAGTGACCTCTTTCATGCCTAAGTGACCTTTCGATAATTGGTCTAAGTGACCCCTTTTCAGTTTGATATCTAAGTGAGCCTTTTGCCAAGAAAATTTTCGAAAGGTCACTGGGAAGAACCTGGGGCATGCATTTTTTTCCTCAGATGGCACTGATATTGGGGTTCTTAGTTCACATCTGCGAAAGCTTGGGTGTGTGCACATTGAAACCAGGGTGGAGCTGCAGGGGTGAAGCTGCAAGGGCTGCACTCTGGTTTTGCCATTGCACTGTGTGATGTGATTTGCGGGCGCGGGATGTGGATGCAGTTGCGCATTGGGGTGAAGCCATGCTTGGCTCCAAACTGGGCCGTGATTGATAGACGCTTCACCGCCCTCCACTGGCAAATTTTCAGGGCCCAATGACAAGGTTCCTGGGAGACTGCGGATCTTGGATGTTTCGATGTCCGCAGCAGGAACACGCTACCTCTGCAGAAGATCGCAAAGCTGCGTCGGCAGGCCACTCAATTTTTGCAGCCACCGCACTTGGGTCAGAGGGGGTTTCACGCGATGCCAGAAGCGGCGTGTTGCCCATTACCTTGCCCGACACAAGGAAATGAAGGCGGGGCGTAATAACCAAACATGTTTTTTACAAGTGGGGGGGCTGCAGTGTTTTTGCAGGCTTCCTTTGGAGTTCAGCGAGCCGTGGTCCTGAAACCCATGGCCACACTGTCCAGAAATCTGGGAGTCTAGGGGCATTATTCCGCAAAAGAAAAGTGTGCTAGTTTTCGCTGTCAGTCACCAGTGATTCAGTCACCAGTGACTCAGCCGCAGCTGCGTTCGAGATAGTCTCTTGTCTCTTTCGGTGAAGCCATTGGGGCTCGAGCTACTTTCCAGCTCGGCCGCAAGACCAAAGCCCATCCGCCCCACCTGCATCTTCCCCACGCCTTAGCATGGCCGCAAAGCGGATAGACCCGACGACAGGAAAAGCAGTCACACACCAAGAGCTGCTGAGCACATACAAGAATCGATACACCAAGAGAGAGATCGAGGACCAGGGTTTGCTCACCCCGGAGATGTTGCGCTGTTCCTTCTCGCTCACTATGACCCTGAGGACTATTTTTGGTGGAGTTGCCGCGCTGTGAGGATGTGGAAGGTGGTGAGCCACAAGCCTGCGATTGAGGATGACAAAGAAAAGGAGTCGAAGGCGAAATTTCGATTTGTTTGTTTCAAGTTGCGTTGCAGATCAGGTTCTTGAAGTCTGCGATTTCTCATTGACATAGCTTCATCCGAGAGGCTACGGCTCTAATCGCTGCGGGCCAGCAGAACGAGGTGGGAGCAAATGGTGACCAGGCCAGAGCGGGGAAGAGTGCTTTAATGGTAGTGATTCTCCTCGACAGTGGTGGGAAAGGGTGAGAAGCGCAACCATGTTCTACATTCAAGCGGGTTCCAGATCGGTTTTCTCGTTTTGAAATGTTTTGAAACCACAGCTAAATCTTTCAACTCCAGGAGGGGCAGGCGAACCCATGCCAATCGTCTGGACGCACAGGAAGTCGGACTTGCCCTGCCCAAGCCTGGTTTGGCGTTTGGCCTTGCTACTTTGCTGAGAATTTGGTGTCTATTGTTCTTGCAGCTTGTTGTGTAAGAACATTCCCGACATATACAGGCGCAGGCATGTGTCCCAAGAATATGATTGTAACTGCGAGTCAGACTACCATCGTGGCCCCCCCCCAAGGGCCTGTCAGTAGCAAGTCCCCGACGTGTTCACGGGTGATAGCTGCGTAGGTTTCTGTGGGCCCATGGTTCAGGGTTTGATGCGTGTGGCCTTAGCTCTCCCTTAATCCTGGTTGCGTGGACGAGGTGCATCGATGTTTCTATTGGTGGAAGGTGGCTCAGGCAGCTCACGGGTTGCAGACATTCAGTCGTGTGAGGATGTAAATGCGATTCAAACGTTGAATTCTTGCGCAGTTTTTCCTGTTCAAACCCAAGATGCGCAGGTGTCAGCGCAGCTTCATAGGACGCAAGCTGTGCAGAAGGCAGGACAACAATTTGCGACGGTTTCTAGCCAGCTTCTTCTATTCTCGGTAAGTGTGGAGGCGACCAGGGACAGATTGGAGGAGGTGTCCGAGGATCGGGCTGAAAGCCTTTTGCTCCATTAGAGCAGATCTGGAAAGATGTGCTTGCAGGATTTAGAGAACGCCTTGGAAGATTTAGCGGATGAGCAGGACAACGTACAGGAGTGCTCGAAGTCAACAGATGACCATTCAGGTCTTGAGGTTTCAAGTTATGCCTTTAAAGGGGGTCGCTGTCACCAATCTCGAGAGGATTTGCGAAAAAGCCTCACGCAAAACCGCGGTTGTGATCAGTGGAGCAGGGCTTAGCAGTTCTAAGTTTCTGGCACATGTTGTTCCAAATCCACACATGATCGAGGCTTCCATTTGGATGCATGCGATCCTGTCTCAACCCGATGGGATGTTCCTGCTGTTCCAGGGTTTGCTTTCTATCTGGGGTTTTGGCTTTTTGCCATGCCAGCACACTATCAACTATGCCAGCACACCCCCCTCAGCACATCAGCCAATAGCTGCTCATGGCTATGCCAGCACACCCCCCTCAGCACATCAGCCAATAGCTGCTCATGGCTATGCCAGCACACCACCCTCAGCACATCAGCCAATAGCTGCTCATGGCTACACCAGCACACCACCCTCAGCACATCAGCCAAATACAACTGTTGTTGCGCTGGTTGTAAGACCTAAAGTTCATGCAACCATTGAGCTAACAGCTAGCCAATGTCACTGACTGTGTCCACCTGGAACAGACAACTTAGCACGAACCTGGAAAAAAAACGGCAAGGCTGATTTGGCTTAAATATGTGCATAGAATATATTCTATGCAGGATTTATGCCTATAAAAAGACACACCCACTCACACACACACACACCTACATGGTCATCCGCGTGTGCAAGGGACGGGAACAGGTGTCTGATGCCAACATGTTGGTGATTGTGGCGGGTTTATTCCTGACAATTTCAACAAGTTTTTGTCGGATTGGTTTTGACATGTTTCAACAAATAAAATCAAATAAATTGAGCGGGTAAACAATGGAAAACACCCAACTGCCATCCCCAAGACAGGTAACTCATGGTAATGGTACGTTTCTGTTTCCACAAGAGGGAAAAACATATATATATATATATGTATATATATATATGTATGTATGTATGGTAAATATCCAAACCCATTAATATTAATTGTATGTGTATATATATATAATTATATATCTATAATTATATATATATAATTATATATCTATAATTATATATATAAATATATATATAATAATTATATATATATATATTTATTTAATTATTAATATATAATTATATATATATATATATTGTGTATGTTTTTTATTTACACATGATCGTCAACCAAAACATTTGGTTTCCATCGGGCCAAACTGTTGCCCAGCCTACCCTTCAGCATTTGGCCCTGGGATTTCCTGCCCTACGACGTGTTCCTATGGAGGTGGGCTCAGATGGATGGTTTCAAAATCACAGGTTTGACCATCAAGATCCAATAATAATGTAGGGTGATATGGGGTAAATAAAGAAACCTGTGATTTCAAAAACCTTCAATCTGATTTGAAATGATTTGAATAGTGTCTGGTGCTGTCAGGCTGGAAGATTTTGGATTTAATTTGTGGGAGCCCCAACTGTTGACGGATCAACCCATAGCTTTTGATGGTTCAACCCATTGATATCCTATTCCAAGGTGCCTACCATGTCTTCATCTGAGGCCTGCAGAATTGGTGAGTTTTCACAATAGCCTTGTACCCAGTCCCAATTTGATTCAATCAGCCCAAGAGGTACCACAGCGTTCCCGGTCCCGATCCCGATCTCGGTGTTTGCTGCGCCGTGGGGACTGGCTCTCAGTTGGATCTCTCATTGTTCGTTCTTACGGATGTTTGTCAACTTTTGTCAATCAACAAATTTGAACTAAGAATGCAGCCGAATGGTCTCCACAGTGGATGCCTTACTTACTGGGTGGTTGGGTGGTTCCAAGACTTCGTCGAACTCTTAATGTTGACCAGTAGAATTTTTAAACTCAGGTCTTCCACAACCCCTCAAGCTATGCAAGTCGCGCTAGTTGACACACCCGTTGCCAAACCCTCAGCATCGCAGAAAATTGTGAAGTTGGATCACAAATTAAATTTGTTTGCAAGGCGTCTCAGCCGTCTCAGCCACCAGCGCATGATCATGATTCCACAGATGACGAGGCTCATCTGGTTTTCTGGGTTATTTAAACAGAATTTCACTGTACTCTCTACAACAACTTTGTTTGTTGCCATATTCATGACAAGTTTTTTAGTGGTGCTTCCGGCCGTGAACTTGCAGAAGGCTGATGAGGTAGACATGGCACTGACCTCAAGCCCTGTCAGCAGTGAAACAATGTGAGACACAGTGCGCTGACATGCTGTCTTAAGGACGATTTGATACAGAAGAACGCATACTTGGCGATAGCAATTTTCAATGCTAGGACCCCAG